AATACATTTTTAATTTAAATTTTTAATATATTATATTATTTTAAAAATTCGAGATTGATTCAATAAAAAGCTCGTATAGGGGGTATTTGCTAGTCGAACCATGCCTTAAGCTGACGACTGGCTCGGACTTGCCTCTTTTTGTGCTCTTTCACATTGCTGTTGTTCTCTTTGGGTGTTCTTGAATTCACATTGCTGTTGTTCTCTTTGGGTGTTCTTGAATTACGTTACTTGTGGCACTCGCTTAGCGTAAGAAACTGAAGTGCAGTTGGGAAAGGAGTCTGAACATAAAAATGTCACATGGATAGCATAAGCAGATGGTAAAAAAATTGAGTTAGTGATAACATGGCTGCTTGAATCTGATAAGCACTTGAAGTACAGCATGTATGCAGATTTGTTGGGCTAAGTGGGCAGAAATATGTCTAAGATCTCTGCGTTATAAGTATGCGTGTAGATGTTCGAGTATATAAGTCGAGTAGATACGAGAAGCATCATTGTAATTGAAACCTTATCAGCAGCCGTAATTGAAACCTCTTCATTGAACTCTTTGAGCTTGATTGTCGCTCTATTCTTTCGACTCTTATCGCATACCCGAATATTTTATAGAAGGTTACAAGCGACGACTAATTAGTTCTTCGCAGTGAAACGCCAACGTCTGAATATTCACATCTCACATCTCTCGGCTAGTTGCTTTGATAACGCCAAATGGAGTAGTTGGAGCGGCATGACAGGTAGAGAATCCGAAGCGAGCTGCGTGGCGCAGATGGAGTGACTAAAATTCTTTTACCTCCAGTCTCCAGCCGATGGTTAAGGGCCATTCTCTTGGCCTTGCAGCTGTGGCAAGTGTGCGGCCTGTCCCTGGAACAACTCTGCAACTATTGGCCCGGCAGCGGCTACGTTGGCGACCCGGGAGACTGCAAAAGCTGGGGCTATTGCAAAAATAATAAGCTTGCGGCTCGAGGACAGTGCCAGGATGATTTGTATTATGATTCGCTGTCTGGCAAGTGTGACAAAGCCCATCTGGCACGATGTGCTCCTCAGCACTGGGAGCTCTGTGCAGCGAGACAGAGCGGAGAGTTTGTGGCCGACCCATTGGACTGCAGAGCATACAATAAATGTGATAACGAGGGCAATGATGATGGGCTGAGGCTCTGTGCCGAAGGCTTTGTGTTTAGCAACAGGCTGCAGACATGTGTTTCGAGTGCCAACGGATGTCCACAGGAAACTTTTTCCATATGTGCCTACATGCAAAGTGGCACTACCGTCGGCGACCCACTGAACTGCGGCCTCTACCTGGAGTGCGAGGGCGGCAGAGGCACGAGGCGGGCCTGCACCGGTGCTCGTTATTACAACTACAAGACTCTGCGCTGCCAGCCCACTCAGCCCGAATACTGTCCAAATGACGATAGTAGCTACAGGCCCGTCAAGCACCCACCTCCGGCCGTAGACGTCTCGGTGTGTGCTAGGTTTTACGATGATGACCGTTCCGGCATTCAGCTCATTTCGGATGGCCTGACTTGCCACGGCTACTACCAGTGCAGCTCAAAACATTTTGTCGGCAAGTGGCACAGCTGTCCACACGGCACACACTTCCAATGGTGGAGTCAGAGGTGTGTAAGCCCCCAAGCCTACAGCTGCCCGTACGATCGTTGCGGTAATCTGAACTCGACTTTTGTCACCGCAATAAACACAGGCTGCACCCAATACATTCACTGCTACAATCAGATAGCCCAGAACATCATCCAGTGCCCGAAAGCGTACCCCTACTTTGATGAGCGTGGAGGTGTCTGCAGCAAATACTTTCCAAATTACATTGTGTGCTACATGGAGAATTAAAGTGCTACTTTTTCTCGTTAATAAATCCCAAACAATTATAATAATTATATGCCTTGCTCTACAAAGAGGCAATGCTGAGATTACTCCTTTTTCCTTGTTCCGGTTGCTTAGGATTCTTGGGTAGACCGCAAAGTTAATGATTAATTCATTCATTTAATATCTCAAAGGAAGTCGCAAGCAAAACATGCAACGCCCAAAGGGCAGAGACCGAATCCGAATCAGCAAATAGCGGCCATGAATCCGTAGACCAAAATTTATGCCTAACCAACATTTCAGCGTAATTTTTCACACTCCTATTTTAATGGGACGTAGTTAGGGCCGGGCCCCAGCTGGCGCTCAATGTGTTTTGAAGGACTTTCTTCTTTTTTTGTTTCCATAATTCCTCGCAGCTCGCGCAAAACTGTAGAAGATGCACAAAAACTTTAACAATATTCGAGGGTTGTTAGTCAGCTCGCCAAGGACTTTATACTTTTTCCTAACTCATAAAGTGGCTTTAGCAGGGAGTGATTGTTCAGCAGGCGACATATAACGAACTTAAATGACGGCGGTAGAAATAAAATTATATTAAATTGTTATTTACTCGCGGTTCTATAAATTAAACATTTTGCATATTAGTTATATTTTTAGGATATAAAAAATACAATAAAACCATCATTACTTATCTGTATAAATTTATAAAAGAAGTCATCTAGGAGAGGCTACCCTGTGAACAATGAAAAATAGAAGGTTATGTAGTCTGCATATACGGTTGGTCCATATGATTCATTTGATTTATGTACCCATAATGGTATTGCTCTGCGAAAATAACAATCATAACAATCGTGTGTCATAGTCTAGTCTGCTTTCGAATTTGTATTTGAGGACCAGCACGGTCGTAAATCAAAGATCGATTCGACCGCGAACTCAAACGGTAGCACAGATGCATACATATACATACATCAACATATATGTAAGTTGCTAATGTCTCTTAGATGTACAAGGTCGAAACAAGGTGTGCAAATGTTTCATTTTTGCGCTTCACATAAATTTCTCATGTTTTCGGCTTAACACACTCGACGGCCGTAACCGTAGCGACGGAGACGGAGAATGTTAAGTACGGAGATAAGTGGAGCGGGGCAATGGCTGTAGCTAACCATTGTGGGCTCGACGAAACGGAGCCAAACACACGATGAGTCATTGAATTATTATGATTGACTTTTATTACATGGAATCGCAATTTATTTTACTTAACAACCAGCAGCCAGCGAAAGCGAACCAAACGAAACAAACGTGGCCCAAAGGCGTGCCAGCAACAAGCGTGGCCAAAAAGCATCCTGAAAACTTGAATGAAAAGTTATAAAGAAATTACGTTATTTATCATTTGCAGTGTTGTGCAGCTCGCGACCGAAGAAAAATAGAGAGAAAGAGAAAGAGAGAGAGAGAGAGAGCAGCAGAATGGAAGGGCCAAGACAGAGACGCGGCCGACCCAACGGCAACCCAAACCGTTTCCGTTTCCGCTCATTTATTTGCCTGACTGTCAAGCTCACACACACACACACACGTGGACACATGANAATGCTGAGATTACTCCTTTTTCCTTGTTCCGGTTGCTTAGGATTCTTGGGTAGACCGCAAAGTTAATGATTAATTCATTCATTTAATATCTCAAAGGAAGTCGCAAGCAAAACATGCAACGCCCAAAGGGCAGAGACCGAATCCGAATCAGCAAATAGCGGCCATGAATCCGTAGACCAAAATTTATGCCTAACCAACATTTCAGCGTAATTTTTCACACTCCTATTTTAATGGGACGTAGTTAGGGCCGGGCCCCAGCTGGCGCTCAATGTGTTTTGAAGGACTTTCTTCTTTTTTTGTTTCCATAATTCCTCGCAGCTCGCGCAAAACTGTAGAAGATGCACAAAAACTTTAACAATATTCGAGGGTTGTTAGTCAGCTCGCCAAGGACTTTATACTTTTTCCTAACTCATAAAGTGGCTTTAGCAGGGAGTGATTGTTCAGCAGGCGACATATAACGAACTTAAATGACGGCGGTAGAAATAAAATTATATTAAATTGTTATTTACTCGCGGTTCTATAAATTAAACATTTTGCATATTAGTTATATTTTTAGGATATAAAAAATACAATAAAACCATCATTACTTATCTGTATAAATTTATAAAAGAAGTCATCTAGGAGAGGCTACCCTGTGAACAATGAAAAATAGAAGGTTATGTAGTCTGCATATACGGTTGGTCCATATGATTCATTTGATTTATGTACCCATAATGGTATTGCTCTGCGAAAATAACAATCATAACAATCGTGTGTCATAGTCTAGTCTGCTTTCGAATTTGTATTTGAGGACCAGCACGGTCGTAAATCAAAGATCGATTCGACCGCGAACTCAAACGGTAGCACAGATGCATACATATACATACATCAACATATATGTAAGTTGCTAATGTCTCTTAGATGTACAAGGTCGAAACAAGGTGTGCAAATGTTTCATTTTTGCGCTTCACATAAATTTCTCATGTTTTCGGCTTAACACACTCGACGGCCGTAACCGTAGCGACGGAGACGGAGAATGTTAAGTACGGAGATAAGTGGAGCGGGGCAATGGCTGTAGCTAACCATTGTGGGCTCGACGAAACGGAGCCAAACACACGATGAGTCATTGAATTATTATGATTGACTTTTATTACATGGAATCGCAATTTATTTTACTTAACAACCAGCAGCCAGCGAAAGCGAACCAAACGAAACAAACGTGGCCCAAAGGCGTGCCAGCAACAAGCGTGGCCAAAAAGCATCCTGAAAACTTGAATGAAAAGTTATAAAGAAATTACGTTATTTATCATTTGCAGTGTTGTGCAGCTCGCGACCGAAGAAAAATAGAGAGAAAGAGAAAGAGAGAGAGAGAGAGAGCAGCAGAATGGAAGGGCCAAGACAGAGACGCGGCCGACCCAACGGCAACCCAAACCGTTTCCGTTTCCGCTCATTTATTTGCCTGACTGTCAAGCTCACACACACACACACACGTGGACACATGAATACATATACAAACGCATATTTTGCCAGAACTCTACGCTTTGCGCTCTGCTGGTTGTAGTTTATACACTGTTAAAAAGTTTAACTTCGCGCTGGAGGAATTTAAATTTATTGTTTTGCGGTTTTATTGAACGACTCCGGCAGCACCTCAATCGCCGTCCGGCGATTCACGCCCGTGCACTTTATCACGATCCTGACAGTGGCTTGGCCAAAAATTAGTTGCCGTTCGGCAATCGATGGCCATTTGATTTACWGCCAYGGCAAGATTGAACAGCCTAATTGCTATAAAATTGGGCGTGGCCGCTGTGCCAGCCACGTAAAGGTGAATTAAAGGTAGCCAAAGTGGCAGCTGTTTCTGGACTCGGATTACAAATCGAACAATCCCTTGCCAAACACTTAACCGTTCTAGATTTGGCCCTTAGCAGAGCAGTTGAATGTGTACCAACTCTGCTAGTATCGGATGACAATCGATTTAAGCAATTCTTGTAATACAAAAAAAAGATATTTGTAACGCCAGACAATGACAGATGAGTCGCTCTACCTTGTACATACCTTCAGAAAATAATAATATCAATGAAAGTTCACAGGAAAAATACCAAAAGTGAGAAACGCTTAAAATGAATTCCATTTTTTTTAAACATTGTTCAAGTAATGAATTGGTTCTTCACCTTTTCGCTTTTTACTGGGAAAATCAAATAAGTTTCAGTATAGTTCGTTTAGCTAGGAGTAAGTGTCTTTACAAAGGGTTATCTACTATATTATTTAGGCTCATTCAAATGAAAGCAGCTAGCTTAAAAAATAAAATAAAAAACATATAAAATTTCCACAAGACTTTTGCACCAATTTGGACCAATTTGGAATAGACAAAACAATAGCAAATAAAATTTAATTTTCAGAATTCTTGAATTCATCTCTTTAATCGCTACTAATATAAATTTAAGTTAATTTCAGCTAAATAAATTCAGCTCATAAATAAAACCAGCTCATTTTAATTACTAACTAAGTTTAGTTCATACTGAATGATATTATTACTATTATTAAATTTTTTTTTAAATTTTAATATCAAATCCGTATAATCAGGTGAACTGCAGATTGCTGTATTGAAATTTTAATAATGTTAATTATAATACTATTAATTCAAGGAATTCAATTTTATCAAACTCACCAAATATTTATCTTTTGCAAACTGTTGAAATTCCAGCCGAATATCTTAATCATATAGCTAAATCTAATACACAGAGAGTGTCTGCCTGTCAGTCACACCCTAGTCGCAGCAGTTTACCTTGTCCTTGAATTTCAGGCTCAGCGTTGCCAGGGCCAATGGCGCCAGCCAACGGTTTAGCCAGCCTAACAATTCTTACAATTCTTAGCCGTGGCGCTGCCTTCGCCCCGTGGCACACAGTGAGGCTTTTGTTTCTCTGTCTACCACCGGGCGGATTAGTTGGTTACCTTGGAATGAGCTGCTGTCCGTTTGCTGCGAAGTTTCATTTTGCTTTCCTCTGCCCACATTASGGTATCGGGCACTGGAGCCGTCCGTGTTGGTGGCTGTGTTGCCAAATAGCTGTTTGCCAGATGCTTATGCCTTCGTTGTTGACATTTAGTTGACGCTCACAACACAGCGCCAGTCCCCAGCCCCGCCCGCCCTCCGCAGCGGGTGCTGTGCACTTCCGGCAACAGGCCATGTAATAGATCATCAGGCGACTTTGTTTGCACTTCGCCACTGAGCCCCGGAGCTGTCTCTGCCATCGTGGCATCCTCCGACGTTCCATCGTGGCCTTCGTCAGACTGGCGTTGATTGCTCGTCCTCAGCTGCTGCGCTGAGCTTTATTATTGCAAGTTAGAACGGCAGTCGAACCCTCCCGCACCCCTCGGCCCCTCGGCCCCTCGGCAGCCCCTTCGCTCAACTTGCACTGGCTTAGACAATTTTTGAAAGGTTATTTCTCTCCAGCAGCAGCCGCGCTCCGTACTTTGTTGCGCTTTGCACTTCATTTGCTGTCCGTCCATTCCTCCTCATTGCGGCAATAAATATTGTTTACCCAGCTCCATCGTGTGCTGCAGCGCCTGGACAGCTATTTGTTATGTCATTCGGCTGCAGCCGCTGACATTCATCCAGCCCGAGTGACAGCATCCTGAAATATGGCCAAGACATGTCTCGATAAGTACTATATCGCTCTAAGGGGACACCAATTTGTTGCAGACACACATATCGCAGCGTGCCTCGGGTAATATTTTGAGTAAAGCATGAATCTCCCATTGCTTGGCTGGCAGTGGGAGGTTTATCGTCTGGTTAACATATTATTGACTCATTCATACATATACATATAATATACGTAGATATCCTATATGTATTACCTGTACTTACCTGCCTAGCTCCGCTGTCCAATTAACTTTACATAAGTCCCATAATATCATTCAATGTTACCTGCTGAGCAGCTCGCTCAGACATCATTCCATGCCATTCCATCAGTTGAGTCGTTGACGGATGTCTCCGCTCAGCCACCTGCGGCGCCAAATTTCCATTAAAACTTCCAAAAGTTATGAAACAAAAAATTTGCTCTTAAAAAATTGGTTTTCATTGACAATTTAAATACAAATTCCAAAGGTAAACAACAAACTTTAACGCTGGTTTTTCTATCACGGCAGCTGAAATACCCTAGAAATAGGTGACCATATTCCATATATGACTATATCCAATGCTAATCATAATTATAATGCTTAGATATTGTTCAAGTATGAAAAGTAAACCAAAGCTCAACTGCAAGATTAATTAGAGTATTTCCTATACAAGTTTCGACATAAAGAAATGCAATGGAAAGTTTGAAAAATCGAAAGGTCAATTCGACACGGCTATCTCAAGTTTTTCCAAAAGAGGCTTAGAAAATCTCAAGGCCATAGGCTAAGAAAACGCAAATAATTCTTATTTGTAAATTGTTTATTATAATCCTTGCTTTGTATGAGCAACGGTTATTTGCGCCTGCCACCGGGCGGAGGTCGGAAAGGCTTCCGTCGGGACTTGGAGTCCACAATGAGCACAGACTGGCGCTTCAAGAAGTTGCGGGACGGCACCTCGTTGTCATCGTCCGTTGTGGCCACTGCGAGTGGAAGAGGCTGATTAATATTGACCCGATAGCAATGGCATTGGCTTGGCTTGGCTCGGCTTAGCTTAGCTCAGCTCACTTACCCACTGCCGGCGCCTGCTCCGGAGAGGAGGACGAAGTGCCTGCCGCTCGTTGCGAGCGTCCTGCGAATAAATTGTAGTAGCACATGGGCATAGGCGGCGGCTTCTCGCCCTCGGGCACGGATGGGGATTTGGGTGGCTCTGACGGATACACATCCTCCTCCTCGTCCTCTATGTCCAGATTGGGTATTTCGAGGGGTGGTATATCGTCCGGTTTGCTCAGCTCTTGACAGCGTTTAATTTTCAGCTTAAGGATCTGATAAAGCTCAAATGATTACGATAGCTCAAGAGCTGACGGAGTCAGATATGTTATGTACCTCAATTAGGTCCTCGTCCTGCGCCACATGTGCCAGAAAGTTGGGCAGCTCAGCCACGGTGATGTGCAGCTTGCGCTCCTGCATGTCAATGTTGTTCTCGTCCACCTCCTGCACCTTGAATATCATCTCGCAGATGCGCTCCTTCAGGTATTTCAGCACACCCATGGACTTGTCGGCGGCATCTGTGTCCTTCTTGCGCTCCTCCTCCTTGGCAGCGATGTCATTTTTGATTTGTTCGATGACCTCCTGGTTGCTGTGTCTCAGAATCAGCCAATTATTCAAATGGACGCCTTTCGGGTCTGTTTAACTTACACTTCGCTCTCTTTGACGTCCGAAAACTTGGATGCCTCCAGCTCGCTGGCGAGCGCCTCACGTTCTGCCTCCAAATTGGCCTTTTCGGCTTCGGCTGCCTTTCGCAAATATGTGAGACGTGCAGCTGACTCCTTCTGAGCGCTGAAGCGCTCAAAGACCTCGAAGGGTGAGGTGGCGCCCGATGCCTCCATTAGCTGCTTAAACAGGGACTCCATGTCGCTGGTGACGCTCTCCAGCTGTGAGACCGGCTCCTCCTCCCCGTTCTCTGTCTTGGCCGTGTGCTGGTCGCCCGAGCTGGAGCCCACACTGTCCTGATGGACGAGTGTCTTGGTCTCTGCGAATAGCTTGCGTCCAATGCGCTCCAGCTCCAGCTTGCGCGCCTCCACCTGCTTGCGAAAGTCCAAGGCCTGCCGCTCGCGCGTCTTCTGCGAGAGATTGGCCTGCTGCTCCTGGCGCTGCAGCACGACCTTGGCCGCATCCCGCATTTCGATGGCTTCATTGTGCACCTGTTGCAGCCGTTCGATCTCCAGCTTCTGCTCGCTCAGTGACTGCTCCAGCTCGCGTAGGCTGCGCTCGAAGCGCTCCGCATCAGTCATGAGTGAAGCCTCGATCGCTCGATATTTTTTGCGTATGTGCTCAGCCTCCATCCACTGCACATTGGTGCGATGTATCTCATTCTCCAGCTGGCAAACAAGCTGAGGTGGCAGAGATCAAGGAATTGCTTAGGCTGGGAGTTGTCTATATGATAGTGGGACTCACCTTCCGATTGGCGTCCTCCTCAAGTGTCTCCGGTGGCTTCTCGCCCAAGTTTTGACTTTGTGCCTCCTTGTTGGCCAGCAGCTCCCGATATTTTTCCACCAACTTGCTGAAGTGCTGCTGGCGCGTCTTGAACCGATGACGCAGCAGATCCATCTGCTTGCGACTCTCGGTTATCTTTAGGTCAGTCAAAAAAATGGCATCATCGGCATTCTTGGCTCCAATCGGATATGTAGCCTTGCCCACAATWATGGTGGGCGTGGCGCTCTGCTTCTTGCGCGGCTCAGAGGTGGACTCCTTAATGACCACCGATCGCTGCAGCGGATGTCGCAGACGACTTACCTTGACCGTCAACTCCTTAATATCCTTCTTCAGCGTTGCAATCGTATCGCAGTTGATGCGGTTCTGCTTCTGCCACTCGGCTGCATTGGCCGTCTTCTGGCCCTCTGAAATAACACTTGAGATGCGAATTAGTTGCTTTGAGTCAGCTCAAGTTTTCTCACCAGCCAGCAAAATGCGCTTCTTAATCTCACTGATTTGCCGATTTAAATCATTCAGTTTCTCCGATTCCATAGCGTCCACTGTGCTCTGCTTGTTTTTACATTTCACTCAATGCGGCTATTTTGTTTGATCAATACGCCAGTCACATTTGTTGCATGGAGACCGACTGCAACTGTCCTGCAACCACCAATGTTAAAAAAAACAGCTGACGTCTAAATAACTGCTGCGAATGTCATAGAGGGCGCTGTCAAAGTTTTTCGATAGCATTGCCTAGTGGATAGTCTTCACATTACTGTTTGCAAGTAATACAGCGCTTACCAGCATATCCGACTGCATAATGCTCGCCCTCGGTGCAAACTCGGTTGAATTTATTGAGAAATTTAAATTTTCAATGTTTCATCGGACGCACCACCCTATTTATAGGTCTCCCTGTCTAGCAGCAAAATATTAAGCATATTTGAGAACTTTGTAAGTTTATTTCTAAGCCCCAATTTTAGCAAAAAGCTAAAATTACTAAAATTCTTGAATCGTTCTCTTAATGCTTCCATTTTAGTTCACTGTAAAATATTGCTCATAGCAATATGCAATAAAATGAAAGACTTGATTTCGAAATTATGTGGATAATTGAATAACGGTTTGATTACTAAACAATGAACAGAAAATACATATAAATATATCTATGACTATAAAGGTTTCCCCAAACAATTGGCCACAATCGTCACAAACTGCGAGGCTACGTCCGATTCTGTGAAACTACAAGCCAGAGGCTGGCGAATTCCTTGAGGACAATTTGCGAAATTGTCGTAGAGCCAGTGGCAGCTGTTGGTGCTCTTTGTCAAATAATTGACGTTCCACTTGCCATCCACGGGCATGTGCACCAAGAGTTCCTCCGACCTCTTGTCCCAGAGTAGCAGATAACATTTGCCAGAATCTGGCATTCTCCAAATCTCAATCTGTCCCTCGCCTAAGCAATCTATTAATATTATGTAATTAATGAAAAGTTTCAAATTGACTTACCTTTCTTCTTCCATTGCTTTTGCTTTTCAAAAGCGAAAAGCTTAGTTGGCTTGCGGAATATCTGCACACCTGTCTCTTTAATAACTGCTGGATCACATATCTCTAGAGCCTTGTCATTCAGGCTTTCATCAGAAGTTTCAATGGTTGATTCTTCCTTACATTTTTTCAATATACCTTCAGACTCTTCATTTTCAATTGATTCCAAATCAACTGATGATGCTTCCGCATGATTATTGTTGGAACATGTTAATTTATTTGAATCTTTCACTTGTGAAGAGTCAATTTCTTTAGTCTTATCCATACGGAAGCCAAACAGCTCCAAGTTTTGACTTGGTTGGCAAAAATTCAACTTTTCATCGGAGGTACACATGGAAAATTCATGAAGCTTTTGCCAATTTAGAGGGCTCTTTTTCTTGGCAGAGAAATTGATGCCAGAAACGCTTTCTGGGAAAAATACATTTATAAGTCTCAATGTTAGTCAGTGATATGAACTCTTACTAGTTGGAGCTGTCGGCAGTTTTAGCTGCTTCTCTTCAAAAATATCTTTAATATCATCTGCAGTCAACAGTCTACACTTCATAGTGCCTTCGGATGGAGGTGTTAGCCTCATTCGATTCGCAGCGACAAAGAAGTTTTCCATACTCTGTGTAGGCAGCAATCTATTCCTGAAGATTTCCTTAAGTAGCCCTGGCTTGGGTGGTAACACAGGTTGGATCTCAACGTTATCGGCAGCGATAACTTTCTCTAGCTCAGCGTAGCCTGGATCCATATCTGCTATGAAGTATATGTCGTTGTCCTTCTGTTCGCCAGTTGCCAAGTTCCGAGTCTCCATAGGCAACTCACTCGAATCTTGCCGCGAATCGGACTCGAACGACAACAATTTTGAATAATCCATATTCTCTGGGAATATCTGTAGATTGTAATTGGATGCAATCGTGCTGAGCCTATTGACAGGCAGGGACAAGTCCACCTCGAATTCCTCTCCAGCTGGACTGGATATCAGTTCCAGGCACTTTTCCAGGTCTCCGGCCAATTCCGAAGAGCTGACCGGTTTTAGATAAGGAATCGCCCCTAAACTCTTCAGCGGGTCTTTAGTTTTGAAATCGAAGCTGTACGGACCTTGTGCACTTATGCATCGGGTTGAGTGCTTGCTACCTTCCAACATTCTGAAAAATATTTAACGCACTACAATTTGGAAAAATGATGGTAATTTATTTTATTGAATGATCGGCTACTCTGTATGTGCTTAACGGAATATAGTTTTATAAATTTATTTTACAATTTTAGGTGAGCATACTTGTTTTGCTTTCTATTAAATTTTTTATTATTATTCTGATATTACTTTATTTGTTTCATGGTTGACTGCAGCGACTTTCTATTCTATTTGGCTATCTCATAAATATCTAATGTTCTCCGGTTTCGCAACTCATTGCGATTCACGAACCGGAAACTACGAGTATTACCTCGAGCAATTCAGCCACGGTCTAATTACACTTTTCTCATTTCTCATCAGCGAGTATATACGTAATTATCAGTCGGAARGGARGCAAATAAAAACGTGGTCTGACAACCAAATAACATTGACAACAAGTTGTCTTCGAGGTATTTCAAGAGTCTTTCGCCCACAACCCAGCTACCCACGGGGTCGAATGAAAGCAAAGCATACAACTGAGAGAGTGTTTACCCTCCACTGACCAGAATAACCGTAGAGCATTATTATACCCTCTAGCTAATCAAAACGTACATCAATTGTGTGGTATATCTGTTTGCACATTTTCTATAAATACAAAGCAGTCGTTTCTTGATTTCAGATTAATATTCTCACTTGAACAGTTGAACGATTGCAAGAAAATCTACCTTATACATTGTTAAAGAATTTTTAAAGTATAAAAGTAAATCATCAAATAAAGTTAGCATCGTATTTCTAGTCCTATTTTACTCATTTACAAATGTATTTTCCTTACCATACGTTATAATTTAGTGATATATACATCTGCTTTATATTTATTTAGGCTATTTAAGTTTTTATTGATTACAAAAAATAAGATAAACAAATAAATGTAAATAGTAAAAAAAAAAAAAAAACATCGCTGACAGCTTACGTTTGGTACAAGAGCATAGTTTAGCTGATCAATCCTGACTATTGAAAAAAATCGCCAGCAGCTAAGCAAAAGGAAACAGCAAGTGGGGTGGTTAGGGCAAAGAGCGCAATGTAAATCAAAAATATGCATAAAATACGAAGAGTGCAAATACAAAATGCGAACAACAAATAAGCAAATAGAAAAATGAGAAAAATAGAAAAAGTAAAGAAAATATAAACACAAATGCAAGAGCAAAGAGAAACGAATTCGGACTTTAAAGCAAAAGCCATTTAAATGTTCGCCCCATTTAATTTGTATAGTATTTGTGTCACAATACGGCACTTCCGCTCCGCTTTGCCGATGCAGTTCAGCATGTGTGTGAGTGTATGAGTGCGTGTGTGCCTCTAAAATTGACTTTCCCAGTTCGGCGTATACCTTTGTTCGATAGACCGCCCCCATGGCATACGCCCACCGTACAACCACAAGTTGGTCCTTTCAGATTTTAGCTGTCGACACTTGGTTTTTGTTCTTGTCTCTGACTTTTTCGTTCAGTTATATTTTGTTGACACTCTGCTGTTGCCGCATCCAATGGCAAAAGCAAAACATGTCAAAGTATGATTTGAAAAAATTCGAAATTGATTTATGTGTTTGTTTGGGAGTAAACGAAACGTATTTGCGATTAAGCTTACCAATTTAAAAAGAATTCGAAGAAAAGTGATAAAATGTCTCCTGCTTTTCTATAACTTGACAGCCATCAAAAATTGGCAAGAGCAAATAAGTAACGAGCTCCTACGTCATGCCCAACTTTATACGACGTTGTAGGTAAAGAGCATATTTATAATTTAGAACAGCAAAAGTCTTCATTTCTGTAGTAAAAAGTGCTTTATTATAAGAAAAACAACTTTTAACCAAACAACTTTCTGTAAAAAAAAAAAGAATTTTTTTTAATTTTATTTTAGCAACAAAACACATAGAAATAAAAAAAAAGACTTATTAAAATAATAATAGAGAATTATTAAAATTATTATTGTTATGTTTAACATTAATATTATCATTAAATATCATAGCCTAACCTAAACTTTGATTTTACTTATTTATTAAACTATTTTATTCTACTTGCTATACATATGTATATACAATTTATTTCATAATTTTTTTATTATA